TATATGTTATTGAATGACATGCATCAACTTTTAATTTTCTTCCATTCTATATGTTAGATTGAATTAAGGTATATATGATTAATTTGCAGGTTCAAAGTGAACTTAATGGGGAAGAGCATAATGACGTATCAAAAAATTTAAGGTGGCTAGCAGCTGGTCCAAGTATGGCAGTGCCATCATATAGGAGCTATCTTATTAATGGTGTTAAATTTAACATCAAGGCACAAGATGATGTGTGAACTGTCCAAAATAGTGGAGTTTATTTACTTACACATACTATGCAAGTTGCTAGTGTTAAGGATAAAAACTCTATTGTCTCCAATATGGGTTTTTATGGTGCTATTCAAGAAATTTGGGACTTTGACTACCAAAAGTTTAGAATCTTAGTCTTGAGGTGTGATTGGATAGATAAAACTTCGGGCCTTGTAATCGACGAACTTGGATTTACTCTTGTAGATTTAAGTAAAATTGGACATAGGAATGACCAATTTGTTATGGCTTCTCAAGTCAAACAAGTATTTTGTGTTGACGACCCAATGCATCAGGTTGGTCGGTAGTGTTATCAATGCCTAATAGAAAATATAATGATGTTATTGGTGATGATGTGCTAGGTGATACTAGAATTGAGTGTGAGCCATTTATTAGAGGGATACCAAATGTTGACATATTTGATGACCTAGTGGGTGAGTTTGGGAATGAAAATATTAGAGATAGGTGTGAAGATATATGGATTGATTGATTGTTGTAATGTATGACCTTAGTTATTCAGTTAATTGTGTGACATTAATTAATAATTATGTACAACATTTTAATTCTTATCACATTTTCATTATGCAGGTTTTGGGCAAGACAAATCAAAAATTAAAAAAGCTAAAGTTGTAAAGTACGACGGTCAGGGATAAAAATTGGAAACACAGACGTCTAAGATAAAAACGACGTCGTGTTTCAACAAGGGAACAGACCGTAAAACAAAAAAACAGACATCTAAAAAAGAAATCAAGACGGTTTGCTTAAAATAAACCGTCATCTAAACCTTAAAATAAAGGTTGTTCAGTTCCATTAACTGTCGTGACAGATGTTCTGCACATTTGCTAGTCTAAAACAACTGACGTCTCCGCGCATACATACGTCACGGCAGGTCAAACAAGCGACTTTTAAAAGGACAACCATGTCATTATGTAATACGAACCGACGTGGTAAGTAATTACAACGTCAAGCAGATGGATCTCTAGATGTAGTGAAGTAATTAACCACGTCCTTTATTTTACAACAACGGATGTTGAATCTATAATCCACGTCGGTTATGTTCCTATCCACGCCTTAAATACTATTTATAACATCAGCCTTTAACATAAACCGACGTGGGGGAGAGTTTTGTACGTCAATATTGAGTAATATTCTGTCATTTTAAATATTTTAGACGTCGGTTATTTAGAAAAAGTGACGTCTACCTCCGTTAAAGGGCCTTCTTTGTACTATTTAAATGACGATTCTAGAAAAAAACAGACGTGTCAACGAGTTAACACGTCGGTTTGTATTATACTTCACAACATGGATAAATATATAAGCGTGGGTGATGCCTGGTGCAGGACGTGGTTATTTTATTTTACGGCAGTTATGGAAAGACAAATGACATGTAATACTCTTTAAACGTCTGTTGGTGTGTGTGTACGTCGTTGTTTATGGTTCACACGTCGGTTTTTTTTTTTTAATGTAGTAAATATTAACCACGACGGTTTCTAGCTTGTCCCAGTCTTTTTTCCTTCATTTAGAGACGTGGATAATTATCTATACATTGGTTCTTCTTTTGATCTTGACATGTAACAGCCTTTAGACGTCTCGGTTTTCATAAAATCGATGTGTAATGTTGTCGGAGATTTCATTTTAGGCTAATTATATAGTAATTACACGTCGGTTAGTAATAAATATGGACGTTGAATTTCTTAACAATGTCGGTTATTAACCGTCGTTGTTGATAGTGCAAAAGATGGCGGTCGATTTCACGACGGTTGGAAAACCTTCTACACGATGATAGTTTCCCGTCGTCTATTTCGATTTTTGTAGTAGTGAATGTAAAGAAACTCAAACCAATATACTCTCTATAACTCTCAAGTGGAAGAAATCAAATACCAACAGGTCAGGGCATTATTTGGTGGGGAAGATCCAATATTAGCCCAAATAAATATTGGACCTTAAAATTCATGCCCAATATATACATCAAGACCTGTCAGCCCCAATTGACTGGTGCGAATAATTGAATTAACCACGAAAGTCAAAGATATTTATTCACTAACAGTGCGTTTGGATGAGTAAATTTAAACGTACAAAAGAATTCATAAATGATTGAATTTAAATGACAAAAATTAATGTTTTAGAATTCGTACAGTTTCTACTTTGGGTGACAGATTTAAAGTACGGAATTTAACTTTTATTTGTAAAGTTATCTTTTTAAAAAAACTGAATCTCCCTTGAAATTTTAGAAATGATGACTTTTAGTTAGAATTTAAAGTTTGTATTTATGACCTTCAAATTCCACCTTTTTTTTCCACGCGAAATTTCTAAATTTCTATTTCTTTTCTCCAAACACGGGAATTGGTTCATGTCAATTTAGAAATTCTAACTTTTGTCAAAATTCCAAGTTTATTTCTCTCATACAAACGCATTGTAAAAATAAATAAAAGGAAGAAAACCGAAGTTATTATGTATTGAGAGAGGGACTTATAACTCAAGTGGTTTAGATCATTTACTCAGGTACTAGGTTCAATTTTCCCTATCCCAATATTGCTGGTATCAAAAACAAATATTATCTATTGATGATAACACCAACTAAGATTAGCAAGGCTGCTTGGCTTGTAAGTATGCCTAATATCTACACAAATGATATTTTTACTCTTGATATTAAATATGAAATGGACATGCCAAAAAGAGTCCAAAAAAGAATCCAAAAACAAGTCCTTGCTACTTAAGGCAGTGAGCAGGCCCAAAAGCCCAAAAAAGCCTAAAAAAACCTCTTATTTGCACATAGGGAGACTCTTAAGATTAAAAAGCCAACCATGCCCATTAACATTCATCTGGTGTAAGGACATCATGTGGATCATATCGATGGCAACGTGCGCTAGTGCCAGTGTGGTTCGCCTATATGCTCATGTGCTGCTCCATTAAAAGACAATTAAACCTATAAATATTCCATCAACAAATGATTCTAAAAGATGGAGACACATATTTCAGTCTGTGACTGACCAACCACCCAGAGTGTAACACTCTGTCCCATAAATCACTGTTCAATTGATTATTTATTGTCAAATTACATTTTTGCCCTTGGGTGTAGGGGCACTTTAATCACTTTTTGTTTGGAAAGGAATTTTAGGAATTGAGCTGCACCGTTGCATAGAGCTCGACGATACGAGTTCGTAGATAGGTAGCATGTTCAATTCGGAGTTAAAACGAAGAAGTTATGATCTACAGAAGTGCAATGGCACAACCGTAATTTTTGCAAAGTCAAAATTTTAAAAGCTGGCAACTCTCTCTCCCTCTTTCTCTCTCTCTCTCTCTCTCTCTCTCTCTCTCTCTCCCGCTCCATGCGATGCTGGACCTTGGCCTGCGATTGTGTCGCTGTCCGGCGACCATTTCAGGTGAAATTGGTCCCAAAGGTTTTGTATCGACGTCCTCTATCTAACCCACCTATTTTCCCAGCTCAAAAACCCAAGGAATTTCAACTGGAATGACTAGAAGTGTCGGCGATTTTTGAAGCTTTTGACGCCATTTTCTGTGACTCCGGCCATTGTTTCCGTCGATCGATGTATGAAACTTCATCCACTCTTCGTGCTCTATCTGTTTATATAAGTGGCTTGGATCGATTTTGGAGTTTTGGAAGTTAATCAAAATACCCATATATGGCCTAAGGTTTGGCCGTGATTTCATCTAGCTCCAGTCACTTTTTGGACTTGGTCCGAGACCAAAAGTTGTTCCCCTTGTTAGTCTGAACGCTTGTGAAATAATTGTGTTTGTTGTGCAGGTAGATTTTTGGGTTTTAAGCCAGTTTCAAGGGAGGCTATGCCGATTTTCTGGTAGAAGTGAAGCCCTAAAGTTGTTTTGGAATTAGGGCAAGAAGGGTACTTTAGTAGTTTGGGCCGACATATGCCTGACGTCAAATAGGGAGAGGGTTCGTCAGGAATTCCGAGGGGGAATTCAGGGCCGGTCCTTTCAAAAAGGGTGCCACGTCATCAATGAGCCTTCTGCCACTGACCCAGAGGGTGTCACATTCAATTTAAACATCTATTTTTTTAATTAAATATTGATAAACTCAAAACGTTTCATAGACATTAATAGAAATCAAATCTCACATCTATTTTTCTTATTAAATATTGATAAAGTCAAAACGTTTCATAGACATTGATAGAAATCAAATCTCACATCTATTTGGCCCACCTAACATTTCAAACAAGATTTGAGCACCTTCACTGGTTAAGTTTCACTACTACAAAAAAGGAAAACCACGACGGGAATTCACT